GTATGAGACTCTTTCACTGGCGTAAAGTGCAACTCAAGTGTTTTTGCTAGTTTCAGACTGATGCAGTTGTTCATTTTTCCATCCAGTTCACACTTTGTTTAAATAGCCAGATGTTTAAATTGACCAACAGAAACCTGGTCTTCAGTAAATGGAACAATATTTCGCCATTATTTTAATTGCACATAGTCAGTATGCTCCTGCATAGGTGGGTGCACAGCGTGTCTGTTTAACACAAGCAGAGTTGTGAAGATGAGCTTCAGGTGTTTGATGTTTAGTCCGGTGGAACATTAGAAAGCAGCCACAGAAGGTCAGAGCATTCTTTGTCAGTACAGATCATTTAAATAACATTTGTTTAAGCTTTATTAAAGTAATGGTAAACAAAAAATAATTAAATCATACTTTTTAAGGACTTTACAGTGAATCTTAGTGTCTCCTGTTATTTCTTTTCCCCCCAGATGCTCCAAGGATCCAGCTGATTACTGGCAGTTTGAAGGTGGATTTTTCTTCATCTGCTCCGTTGCACCGTCACTTCTGGTAAAGATTCATTGACCTTTGTGGTATGTTTAGATTTGACTTATTAATACACTGTATAGTTGGGATTCTGACATAAAAGATAGTATAATGTTTGTCCAATAATTGGTTGATATTGTAAATTTGCATCTGAATATATTAAATAAAAGTGTTATAAAGTCAATAGTGGTGCGTATGTTATTTGTAATTAAGTTTCCAACCCCACTTTAGTTGAAAGACTACATACAGAGAATTAACAGTTTAATTAGCATTTCTTCAGTTTATTATATTTTATGAGAAATGTAAGAAAATTGATCTGAATCTGAATCATTAAATATTGTATTTAGATTGAGCTTCTACAGGTTTTAACATTACTTTACACTTAAAGATTCAATGTTGACACAAATACTGCAAGTTGAAGTTTGAGATGATTTCAATGTTTTACAAAGTATTTTTTACTTTGTCTTCCAAAACAAAAGGTTTACTTTACAATATTAAGCTTGTGTTAATATTTCATTGATTGACCCCTAATTTTATTATTAGGAAAAAGTTTCTCTGCAGAAACTTTAGTGGCGTCACTTTATTGAAGGAGTTTGATCATAATAAATTAGGAGAAATCTGTAAAATAACAGTTTTTCTTTGTAGAAATATTAATGAAACTTTCTGTAAATGTATTGTTTTTACACTTTATTTAAATTAGGATATTTTACTTTCATTTTATGGTTTTTGTTCGGCAGCCGCTGCTGACAGTCATTTGACCGTTTTTTTTACGATTTTTTTTAGAGTGCAGAGTTAAGAGTTTAGCAGCTACAAACATGTTTGTGCTGCTGTAAGTTTGTTTGTGCCTGGGCTTATTGTTCAGGACAGAAAGGGAATATATATATAAGCAGTTGTTCTTTCATGTTGGTCATGAAATGCAACTGATTCAATTTTAACTTTCTGATTTGTGTTGTTAGCAGCTGGACACTGATCTCACCTGGTGGTGCAGGTGAGGGATGGTCTGTCTCTGCAGGTCTCTGTTTAATCTGCGTCTACAAACCTGATCCGATTAACTGCTGCTCACACTGGCACGTTCTCTGTGTTCAGGTGTACGCCTCTGTCTCTGGATCAGCCAATCAGCACTGAGCTCTTAACTGGATCAGGTGGACAGAGGAGCAGTGAGTTACTCCTCATTGTGCCTGTCACAAATATGATTATTTTAAAAACATTTTACCATTAAATGTTGAATTGAACTAAATGTGTTCAGAGTCAGAGTGGACAGTGGATGATGGTGGATGAAACTGTGGTCAGACTGTGGCAGGCGTCAGAGATGCAGGTGGCGTGGACTGTGTGTGGGCGGAGTCTGGGTGGGCGGAGTCTGCTCAGACAGTAACAGAGAGAGAAGCAGCTGCTGTTGGATGGAAACTTATTCTGACGCTGGAAACAACAACTGCTGCTGAAGACGCTAAAAATACACAAATCCACATTCCACACATCGACTGACCCGTGTGTGTGTGTGTGTGTGTGTGTGTGTGTGGAGGCCTTTATGTTCGAGCTTCTGTGTGTATGTACTACAAGAACGACTGGTTGTAAAGGGTGTGTGTGTGTGCATGGATGAGTGTGTGAGCATACAGTACATACCTGAGTCAAGTGTGTGTGTGTTTGTGTGGTTCTTAATATAAACTGAGGCCGAGCTGCTCTATAAATAGTCCTGTTCATTGTGGAACAGATCAGTGTGAGAAAACACGCCAACCTCAGCCTCAGTTTACCCACAATCCACCTCTGATATGACGTCACTCACCTGTTCACATGTCCATGTAAAGTGTGTGTCACATGGTGTTTTCACTGTGACCTGTGAAGAGGCTGAAGTGATGTCACGGCGTACAGAGGCCCACCTGGACCCACCATCCAAACCTTGCAGGATTTGGTTTCTCTGAGTGTTTTTACCTGAAATCTGCTTTATTTTTATTGGATCACTCAGAAAACAGTCAGCCAATCAGAAGAGAGGCTCAGAGCCCCCTCTCTTCTGATTGGCTCTCCGACCTGTTGTTACTAGAGCTCCAGAGAGAAGCCTGAGAGAGGAGATGTGAAACTACACTGAGATGGTTTTTATATCTTCTGATGGATCAACACTTCAAATAAAACACAGAAGAAGAAGAAACATGGAGCTTTAAATCAGGTGAAGTTGTTCTTGAAGCCCTGAGCTCTGACTGTCAGGTGGAACTGTCTGGTTGTACAGAGCATGGACAGATATATTTCATATGTATTTTGACAGTTACTCTCTGGATCAGCTGGATCCAGGATCGACACATTGAATTGAAGCTCTGTTCTTCGTGCAGCGTCACTGAGAAGCTGCTCAGTATCTGCTCTCCTCAGGCTGCAGGTCTGATGATCACGACTTCACGCAGAGACACAGACTGTGGACCAAACATGAGATAACGTTGTTCTTCGAGCGATCGCATATGATCCTGTTACGTAGGTTTAAATGTTAAAAACGGACTTTTGATTTATGGTCGTCCGGGAGAGAGGAAATAAAAGTCTTTAACAGACTTCATTTTGTAAGTGATGTAAGCTGAAAGAAGCCAGTGGTGATAAAAATACCTGATTTATTTATAAAATCTTAAACTAGAATCTCAGATCACAGAAGATTTCTTCACGGAGGTTCAGGATCAGATTCTGTCAGGAGAGAAAAAGCTGAGTGAAGATCTTTAATAAAACCAGAACAAACATCTGCTGACAGCTGGACTGAAGCTCTGCAGCTCTGAACACACACTCGACCCGGACAGAGACTGAGCTGCTGATACAAACATCAATATTCAATATTATTTAACTGGATAAATCAAGTGTCGACTTTGTCAAACTCAAAACATCAACATGTTAAAAAAAAGGTTTGATAAATGAAAGTGTCTCAGTTCAAATAAACCAAAGAGTCTCCAGCAACAGGGAGATCTGCCACAACCAATTAAACCAAAAAAATAAAAGTCAAATCTATGATAAAAGTTTGTTTTAAGAGATTTAAATGGTTCACCTTACACACCTGGACATACCTGCAGGATTTATGACATCACAACTAGTTTGGAGCCAATCAGGGTCCAGAGTGAAACTTGAAGCCTCCAGGTCACAAACACTGAGACTGTACAGTGAAGAAGGAGACGTCTGGTCTCCAGCATTTAAACTGATAATCAATATTAAATATTCACAGATTCTGAGTATTTTCTCCATTTCCACATCATTTCTTAAGGTACGTAAGAATATTTTATATCACGTTTTCAGAACTATCTCAGCTCTTTCTGTGATGACGACACTTTGCGATCATTTGACCCAAATGCTGAAAAACTAAAGCAGAAATGTGTTTACCAGAGTCGCAGGTTCATAAAAACAGATCAGCGTGTGAATAAAGTAGAAGATAAATGTAGAATAAAAGCCTAAAATGAAAAGTGTCTGTCCTTCTACTTTAACTAACTTTCAGTGGCGTGTTCGAGGCCTTCTAGCTCCGCCTCCGAGTCACATACGATCTCACAAGAATCTGAAACAGGAAGTGGAGAGTCAACAGATTCTCACAACATTTAAACCAGATTCATTATCGCAGAGGTATTAATAGAAACATCCATCCACCTCAGAGGGTCAAGAACTTTTAATGAGGTGACTGAAAACACAGTGACATCAGAAAGAACTGAGACCTGGTTCTGACCCAGTCCACAAGAGTCCTGGTTCAGGTTCTGAGGTGCCTGTTCTGATCCACTGCGTCGACTGTTGGACACAAATGTCAATTAAATGAAATCTTCTTCCTGTTGTTGGGATCGTTTTCTTTCACCTGTTCTTTGAGAGAGCGTCTGCTTCTTCCTCTGCAGTCTGGACTCACTGAGCTGGAGCGCCACCTGCTGGTCAAACTCCATCAACACATTCAAAACCAACAAGAGTCAACGTCTCACTCAGAGGGTTTAGGTTTGTGATAAAGTCGGTTTAACTTGTTGAAAGAGTTTTTCTAGAAGAGACTCGATTCTTTAAAGAGCGGCGTGTGACGGACACAGACTGAATGAATGATGTCACCGTAGTAACAAGATGATCACATGATGAACGTGTGAATTCAGGAATTCAGTAAATAAACAAACCAAACGACCTGAAGAAATTTGCACATTTAATTTAATATTGATTAAATAGATAAACAGTCGACTTGTCTTCTCCCGACATCTGACCTCTGACCCCAGCACCATACTTTCCTTCATCTCTTCTCCACCTCTTCTCCTGTTTGTTTCTTTGTTTGTTCTTCAGACCAGGTCGAGGGCGGAGCCGACCACCTGCAGCAGGTCCACATTCAGGTAAACTCTGCAGAACGAGAGGAGGACGCCCAGAGACGAGAACCCGATGAGAACCCAGAGGATCTGAGCGCTGAAGTACAGAGGAGCCAGACTGGAGGAGAGGGAGGAACAGTCAGAGTCTCAGCGCTGAAGAAAGAGGCTTTGATTTTTATCTTTAATAAATTAAACTTTAAAATCTTTATTCTGTAACTTCCTGTGCATGTGAGAGAAAAGAAACGGGACAACTGGCAAACACGACCTCTGACACAGTATTTTTCTTACAGATGTTTCTCTGAAAACATCTGTCTGCTGCGGCTGAAAACGACACAGAGAATCAGAGCAGGAAAGATTTGCAGATTAAAATTCCAGATTTTTTTTACTCTACTATTTTTGTCTGAGTCGAACCTTCAGCTGGAATCATGATGTGTGTTAATTCAATCATAAATAAAGTTCAGATGGACAGACAGACAGACAGACAGACAGACAGGTCTCTTACCGTCCCTGTGCAGACTGTGAATATCCACGGAAGTAACGGAATCGTCCGTATAAATAAAGCAAACCACAGACTGACGACAGACCTGAAACACACACAGCGTCTGTCTGAACATCACGAGTCAAACACTTTGATGTCTGTGTCTGTGTCTGTCTGTTGTTTCTGTCTCATCACCTTCACTGAAGAAGACTCCGGCCGTCCACAGCACAGTGATGAAGATGGGGAAGTACTCTGAACAGTTCGCTCTGAACACAGGACACAGGATGATGTCATGATGAGGTCACAACGTCAGTTAAAAAAAATAACGCTCCAACTCTGATCAAAGAAACTTCATCATGTTTTAATTACAGTTGATCAGATTAATCTAGAACCAGCTCCTCACGCTTCCTCCAACAACCAATCACGTTACAGGAAACATGGTCTCAGTCTCTCCTCCCTGAGTTACAGCACAGAGTGTATTTACAGAACATTATGATGTCACAGTGAAGGTGACCTTTGACCTTTTGGATATAAAATGTCATCACTTCATTTCATCCTAAAAGACATTTCAGTTAAATTGTGTCATAATTAGTGAATGAATTCTTGAGTTATGGCCAAATAAATGTTTTGTGAGGTCACAGTCACCTTTGACCTTTGGCCACCAAAATGTACCAGATTTGAAGTAATTTGCTCAAAGCGTTACTGAGATATTGCATTCACAAGGCCAAAATCATGGTTGTGAGGTCACTGTGACCTTTGACCTTTGACCACCAAAATGTAATCATTTCATCCTCGATGTTTGTGCTGAATTTGTTCTGTGAAGCTGTTACTGAGACATCGTGTCCGTCCATAACAATGTTGAATATTTTACAGGTTATTGATTGTTCAGTGGGCGGAGTCAAACAGGGGTCAACGACCTTCTGTTCGCCACACTGACTGACTCTACAACACAAACGTGCATCAGTAAAGAAAATGATCATCAGTCTAAACTGAGTCATATTGAGGTCAAAGGTCAGACTCACTGAGCTCTGAAGACTCGCTCAAACTCCGGCGGTCCGGCCGTGGTGGGCGGAGACACCGAGTACTTCCTCCTGGCGTAGATCACCTGGAGAGAGAAATAAGCTGCATGCACGCACGCGCACACACACACACACACACACAGGAAACACACCTTTACTTCCTACACGGAGGTGTGTGCGTGTGCGTGTGCGGAGCAGAGACAGGACTCAGTCTGTATTTACATATATTTTAATACGTATAAACATCTAAAAATAAACAATAAATAAATAGGTAAAAACTCTTTTTAACTTTAAATGTTAAAAGCTGTCTGAGGTGAGTCAGCTGTCGGAGAGCCGCTCAGACCAAAGTTCACACTGTGTTTGTAGTAAATGCAAAGTTGATTCATAAAAAGAACTTGGTCGAAATAATAAATAACAAGAGAAGAAGAAAGAGGCTGACGAGTCAGAAGATTAAATACTAAAATAAAACATTATTATTCACATTATTAAATGTAAATCAGAATAAAAAACAATTATTACATCAGTATTTAATATTTATTAACTGAATATGTGAAGGAGTCTGGTTTATGAGTCATGTGAGCACATGTAAACAAGGTGTGACATCATCACAAACACTTCATTCATTCATTCATGAAAATAAAATTAATTTAAATAAAATACCAAAGTGAACACCGTCCAGACTCCGATCCTTTCCTGCAGATTTCAAAACGTTCAGTCTCTTCTCATATTTCCCAGCATGCTCTCTTACCTTGCTCCAGGACGCCCAGCACACTGACGGCGGCAAGGCCGACCGCCTGGTCCATCATCATCATCCCCCGCACAGACGACAGGTGAGACAGAGACACACACACCTGAGCTCTGAGAGCACTGAGAGGAAACACAGCCAGGTAACAACACCTGCAGGGGGCGGGGCCAAAACTCACTGACTGACAGCTGAGCAGGTTAATGAGCGACCTGCTGCCTGTTTCATATGATGCAGTGTTTAATAAGAAAAGATTTGTTGTTCAAGATCAACTCAACAGTGAAAGAGTTTAAAGCTGCGTCAGTGTTTCCAGAATAAACGATGAAGAATTAAACAGCAGTTTAACCCTTTCATGCATGAATGAATGGAAGCCCAAGTTTTTTACGATTAGTATTATATTATATATATTAGATGATATTTTGAATCTTATCTTTAGTTGACGTGTAACTTTTCATGCTCACCTTCTCAGAACTGCTTTTAAAATGTCCCATTGTTGAATATTTTCTGATCTTTAACTCATGTAAAGCGTCTTTGCACCTTGAAGAGTGCGACTGAAACAAAATGTAGTGAATGAGTTTTACTTTGAAAGTTTATTCATATGCAACAATATTGTAGTTGATACATAGAACTTTATTTTGTGAAAACTGTGAACATTAAATAAAATTCTTAAAATACTTTTTTCCATATTTTAACATTGATCTGTTGTCTACGGAAAAACGACAGCGTGTCAGATTGTGATGATGCGTTCTCTCTGTGTGGTTTAGCTCCGACTATTGTCTTGTAAACATCAAAATCAATTTCCCTAAAAAAATATAGAATAGAATCACCCCATGGTCACATCCCTCCGCCACTCAGACTAGCTTCAGTCTTGAGTCTAAAAAGAGTTTTGTGATGTCACACTGACCTTGACATTTGACCTTTAGCCACCAAAGTGTAATCAGCTCATCCTCGAGTCCTAGTGGATGTTTTTACCAAATCTGAAGAAGCTCCGTCAAGATGTTACTGAGACATCGTGTCCACGAGAATGAGACGGACGGAGAACCTGAAAACAAGATGGAGCCAGTGTGGAGGAAAAATAATCTACAACACACACACACACACAGAGAAACACACGTACACACACACACACAGAAACAAACACAAACACACAGAAACACACACACACACACACACACACACACACACACACACACACACACACACACACAGAAACACACACAGAAACACACACACACACACAGAAACACACACACAGAAACACACACACAGAAACACAGACACCAGATTGTTTCTAAAGAACTATATTTACATAATACTCTTGTTTTACAGAGAACCATATCAAAAGTATAAAATACTTACAAAAAATCCGCAGCAATATATAAAAATAACATCTATCTTCTCCAGATCATTAGGAAAGGCTTACATACAAAAAATATATTTATAGACATTTACAGAGGAAACCCCGGGAGGCCGAGCGAGCGGCTGGAAGCCATTTGGATGAAGACGTGAAACCAGCCCCAAGCTGCTGCTGAGCAACAATAACATTACAAATAAAATAAGAACAGGACGCAGACGTCTCTCTGAAGAAGGTAAAAACAGTACAGTAGATAGAACGACCGGGTCACACTTCCACCTTAAAGCAGGGCGACCCGGTCACAGATCCGCCTTAAAAAAAAACAGGACTGTAAATCAAGACTCAACACGTTGGTGTCTCGTGTTTTTAATCTGAAGTCAGAAAACATGTTTCAATGCTGCGTTCAAGACACGTTCTCACTGTGGGAAAGGCCAGAAACTCACAGGATGTCGTGTTTTAAACACGGGTTCGTTTCAGCCCTGAAACTAGACTCCCAGGCAGATCAGACCGTTTTCTGTGTTTGTTGTTTGTTTATTGTTTGTTTATTGTTTGTACTCAGGACTCGGGTGGATTCTCCTGCTGAAATAAGACGCAGCTCAGGTTTCACTTCCTGTATCTGCAACATTTGGTTTTATCTCAGACAAACTAAATTCATAACCACTCAGTGTTACAGACATGAACATACGTGTGTGTGTGTGTGTGTGTGTGTGTGTGTGTGTGTGTGTGTGTGTGTGTGTGTGTGTGTGTGTGTGTGCGCACGTGTGCGGCAGGTTCACAGCCTGGCAGTCTCAGCTCAGGGCAGACTCGTCTCCACTGAGACTGGAACGCAGCATCTCAACATGCAATCGTGTCAGGATCTTATTGACTGCGACACACCTTACATCACTTCCTGTGTGTCTGTAGTGACTGGTGCTGAATAACGTACAGGAGAACAGGAAACAGTCCTCACTACGACCCTGTCAGCTGACCACAGGTGCAGGTCAGAGGTCAACGCCTCATGTTTTCCTCCAGCAGAAAAAAAATTTCCCAGTGAATCTGATTTCAGTGATTTTACAAACGTGCCGGTTTCTCTTTGTAACTGATGGTTTAACCACATTTTAAATATTATCTCATGCATTCAGTCTGAGGTGATGCAGCTCCACGACATGATGACACACACACACACACACACACACACACACACACACACACACACACACACAGTTGTGTGACTGGGATCTACAGTCTGAGTTTTTCTTTTTCATCAGCTCTGACACTTTAAACTGTAAAAGAACCACATCAGTGTTTTTACGTTTCACTGAAACAACTTCGACTTCCTGTAGAAACTAAAGAAAATATGTCGACAAACAAAAAAACGTCTCTGAATTATTGATTTGTAAAGCAGGAAACTGAAGTTCTCATGATGGGGTCAGGTGCTGATCAGCTCGGCTCTAGAACGACGTGTGGAAGTGGAAGAAAGTGAAATGATCTTCCACTTCAATATAAAAACAAAGTTATTATAACAACATTATGAGTCAGTTTGACTCTGTTGTTGTTGTTTTCAGTTTCTCAGTTGAAATTCAGTCCAAAAAAAAACAAAAAACAAAAATCACTTTACATTACTGCGGATCATTTCCCTAAACAAAGCCGCTGTATTGTTTCAGATATTTTAATATTTGCCTCGGTCGTCCCGGCAGCGTGTGTTTACACTTATTTCCCTACAGTATGAAAATCAACCCGTTCAGACGACACGTCACCTTTTGATCTTGTTACTGTCACTTCAGCATCGTGTGGCGACGTCAAACCATCGAGACTTTAGAGACAAAAAGTAAAAGTCAAACATGATGTCGTGACTTTTCTCTCCAGACGCCGTGAGACTGAAACAAACTCAAATCTTAAACCCCGTGTTATAGTGATTTTAAGGTTTGTAGTAAACTGTAAAAACTCTGGCGTGGTTCTTTAAAATGTGTTTGTACTTCCTGTGTGTTTTGACCTCGTCCTGCTGCCGGGCTGTAGGTGGCGCTGTGGACGACCGTCAGTGGTTTTAACTACTGAACCTGTGGCTCAGTGCGTTAAAGTCTTCAACTCCTGCGTTCAGTCTCCAGTCATCAGAGTGTGTCTCTCACACACACACACACACACACACACACACACACACACACACACACACACACACACACACACACACACACACACACACAGTAATAAACTGTTAGTCGTTTACAAACTCACACACCTGGTAGAACAGAACTGAAACACGAGTGACAGGAAGTGACGACGTTCAGATTCTGACAGATCTAACTCTACGTTGAGTTCAAACTTCACCTGACTGATCATCTCTGTTGTCTGATCGATCTGTATTGATCCATCAGAGCTGTTGATCAGATCACATCCACAGAAGTCTGTCAACAGTCAGAAACGTTTATTCTTATGGTTTTGTTTCTATCCTCCATGTTTGTAGTTACTGGAACCACTTCACAATAAAACTACGCTTATAAAGGATTTATAAATGGTTCATAATTAGGTTATTAAACCATAAGCAAACAGTTATAAACAAGTCATAACAGTTTTCGTTGATGCAGGCTCACTATTTGGCAAGTTCAAGTTAAAGATCATTAATCTGACTACTGACTTATTACCATTTATTTAAAAGAGTCTTATTGTGAAACATATCATTTATTAATGAGTTACTACCAGTTTTGACCAGTTATTAATTAAGTCATTAGGAAAATAAATGATCCTTAACTTGATCTTGCCAAATAGTGAGCCGGCAGCAATGTATGAAAACTGTGTTGTAACTTGTTTATAATTGTTTATTTATATTAATAAAGTGTTAATAACCTAATTATAAAGCATTTATAAATCCATTATAAGTTTAGTCTTATTTTGAAGTGTTACCAAGTTATTTAATCACAATATATATGATTTTAATTTATATAAATTGTACAAAATGAAAGTTTCTGTTACACCGTCTTTTAAAATAGTGACTGTCCAGACGAATATTAAGCGTCTATTTATTTCTAAACTGTTCTCAAACTGAACTGGTTCATTTTCAGACTGTGGATCATTTACCTGTCGATCAGGACGAGTTCTGTTCTACCAGGTGTGAAAGTTTCACAACGAGCGTTTGTTAAATTTCCAGATTTGTGAACGGAGCCTGGCGTCATGATGAGTTTCATTCATGTTAAACCTCCAGTGATCAGCTGACGGAGCGCTCACTCTCCCTCTGCTGAAGTGTCTTTGAGCAAGAAGCAGACAGACCTGAAGGACGCCGATTCACCTGCTCTCCGTCTCTAACCTCTTCCTGCAGCTGCTCACACACCTGTGGCGGGAGATCATCACCTGATCATCAGGGAGGAAACTCCTCGTCCACGGGTCAGTGTCTGAAACCTTCATGAGTTTAGCAGGACACCTGGTCGCTTCTCATTAGCTAGGTGGCTAACGCTAACACACAGATCAGAACAGTGTTGGTCTCAATATCAGAAATCAGTCTTTTCAACATGGCCGCTCGTCTTCAGGTTCAGGTGCTCCAGGTGTGTTTGACTAATGGTGGCTGGCGAGCAGTTCGTCCAGGTCGGCCATCCACTCCTGGGGGTTCTGACCCTTCAGCAGGGAGTCGACCAGGTCGCTCTCGGCGGCGAAGCTCCCCGACGCCACGTTGTATCCGAACGACACCTGCTGCTGCTGACTGGCAGTCCTGCTCACCTGGTATCCTTGGTTACACTGCAGTCCCTGGCGGCCGTTGCCCTGCGGCTGTCCGAACGCCGTCATGTCGGGGAGGACAGCCTGGTTCTGATTGGCCTGTTGCTGTTGAGTCTGCTGCTGATTGGCCATCGGCTGGCCCAGGCTCTGAGGGTTGGGCGGCGCCCTCTGCTGGGCGGCAGCCATGTTTGTCTGCATCATCTGCTGCCCGGGGTTCATTCCTCCCATTGGGCGACCTCCGGGGTTTGCACCAAAGGGTGTGGAGCCCGGCGGCATCTTGGGAATGCGAGGCTGCTGCTGCATGTGGAAGGCGTTGGGCGTGTTGTTGAAGGCGTTGGGGGGCAGGCCGGTGTTACTGGAGGGCGGCTGGTTGGCGAGCTGCTGCTGCCAGGCGGCGCTCTGTGCCCCCTGTAAGCCGCCGGACATGGAGCCAGGGAGGTTGGCCCCCATGCTGTTCTGCATGGAGCCCGGCATGCGGGCGGCGGCGGCGGCCAGCTGCTGCTGCTTCAACATGGCGGCATTGGGCTGCGTCTTCAGGTGCTGCTGCTGAGCCAGAAGGTTCTGTCTGTACTGAGCGCTCATGGCGCCCAGAGGCTGGCGCTGCAGGCCGGGCTGCTGGGGCGGGTGACCCGGGTGGTTGGGGTGAAGGTTCATGTTGTTGTAGAGGTGCTGCTGGACATCCACGCCGCCGCCACCCCCTCCCCCCCCGCAGGAGGGCAGACTGATGTCAGCCTGGCTCGCCGCAGGGGGCGGAGCTACGCCGCCTGCCGGCCCACCGCCCTGACCCATGTTCATTCCCATCATGCCTTGGTTCTGAGGGAACATACGCTGTGACCCGGGGGCGGGGCCTCCCATGGAGCCGACGCTGCCCATTGGCTGAGAGGAAGCTGTGAAGAGACACGAGCAGTTTGATGAACAGCGACTCAACATTTGTTAATAATCGTAGAATAACTTACAACTTTATTTAAATTAGAAACACAAACATTTGATTCGTTTGTTCTTTTCAATTTAAAATCTCTTCAAATTCCTTGTTTTCCTGTTTTTGTCTTTATATGTATATTCATCATGTTTGTGAAGAACATTGCTTCAGTGTTTTTGTGAGAAATGTGTTTTATAAATAAAGTTTATTATTATTATTATTACTAATCCTGTCGATGTCCGGATCTCTGTCTCTCAGATCCTCTTGTTTTATTTTTCATTTCATCATATCACACACTGTAATCTGGAGAATTAAAACATGAAAATAACATCAGTAAATCAGTTTTTAAAAATTCAAATAGGCAGTTCTTAAAATATATATTTTTTAAATTCTGTATTAATTATTTCTATTGTTTTATCTTATGTTTCCTGGAGCCAGGTGAGTTATTATTTATCCAGCAGCAGTGAGATGATTTTATTTCACAGATGTAAATGTCGCGTCAGACTGATCAGCTCAGTCTGACGACGTGAGACTCGACAGTTCATCAGAACCGGACAGGTACTGATATTTTCCATTCAAATCAGTGGTGAGCATCATTTACACACTGACTGAGAGACACGTCTGTCCTGAACGTCACAACAACCTGGTCCTCCAGCATTTCAATGATCAGATCAGATAATACAGCGGATCCTCGTCCTGCTCACACACACACACACACACACACACACACACACACCTCTTCATTTCTTTCATGTGAACTAAAATAAACCTGAACAAACCGACACCAGCTGAGTTTTTGTGCTAGAAAATTATTATATATCATAATTAAAATGAGATTTCTTCACTGTTTCAATATTATCATGAGCTCATGTAAAATATCAGGTTGGTGTTTCCTGTACAGACGCGTCTTTACAGTGTTTCAGAAACATCTGGACAACCTTTACTTTTCTACATAATTCATTATAAATGTTCATTACACAATAATACAAAAGCTACTTCAGAAATATTAAATTAATGATTCATATTTTCTGTTTCTCATGTCACCTCTTCTTTGCAGGATTTGAATATATTTTAAATCTACAATAAATAAACACACACATTCAGATCAGATTTAAATTAAAATTGAATTTTACTTGTTATGAAATTTATTTTCTATTACTCAAAATTTACTAAATTACAACAAAACTTCAGTTTTATTAATTTTTTTTAGTTATATTAAGTTAAATATCAATAAATAAAGAAATAAACTCTGACGTCACATTCAAACTGTTTATTTCTATTTCCAAGGGGGAAATTAATTTGTTGATTTAATTGCATTAAGGATTAATTTCAGCTTCTGATTAATTTTTAATTTATAAAACTATATTCAGACTTGTTTTTCTGTCAACAAAGTTTTAATTCCATCATGTGTTTCACACTCAGGTCATAGATGGTGACGGTGTTGGACAGGACTGGACTATATCCAGTGGTGTTCCTAATATTCTGACCCCTCGTGTTCGAACGTTAGGACATGTAATGTAGTTTCACTCTGAACACAGTTGATGTGTTGATCCAAGTGTGTGTGAGCGTCTCTCTCAGACAGTCAGGTGTAACTTCCTGTACTCGTACCTGTAAACTGGTTGACTGGCTGCTGTGGGAAAGGGTTCTGATTGGCCGGTTGTCCCGGCTGGTCCTGGTACTGTGGCGGAGGTCGGGTCAGGCGTCTCTGAAGCTGCTGGTCCTGCTGCTGCCGCTGCTTCTCCTGCACAGAACAGGTCAGACACTTGTCACACACACACCTCACAGTGAAGCTGTGTTTTATAAAACTGATTATTATGAAATTAAATTAAACTCTGGTTCAAAAATCACACCTCAAAGACCAAATATTTAATGACTGAGGATCTGGACGCCACATTGGCTGGTAACTAAAACTGACCATGAATCGAGATGAATTATCAATAAAAACTCAAAAGTCAGTGAAAGCTGTGTCTTTGACCCATTTGTAAACAGTGATTGAGCTTCGATCAGCCAGCGCAGAGCGAACGCCAACGCGCCTCTGATCCCACGTTTTCCTTGCCGATCTCCAAAACCCGAAAGCGAGGAGAAAGTCAGGGTGAGGTGTGAACTTAAACACCGGGTTGAAGTTAGTTGGTTTGGTCTGATGATCAAACAGTGGACTGGTTTTAAATAAAGAATCTAGTTGAAGTTGGTGATAAATGAGATATTAACCAGCACGACATGTTTCACCACCTGAGTTTATAAGCTGTCATTCAGGTATTCCTCTTTGTTAAACAGCACCTGGATCACAACAGGATCAACAACATCTGGAAAACCCTGTAAAGACAGGCGAGGCTGTCATCATCATCATCATCATCATCATGATGGATGGCAGCAGAGACCAGTGACCACACTGACACAAAGGAAACCAAGGTCAAACTGCAGTGAGCTCCTGTGTGAACAAACAGCTCCCTCTAGTGTCTGAGATCAGAACAGTTTACAGCTGATACTTTTATTGTCGCTTCAATTCTCTTCCAAATATCTTTTATTATTTTATCTTTACTACTTTGTCCTAACTTCTTATGTGATTTTTTAATATCTTACTTTCATTAGTGGTTTTATTCAGAGCTACAGTCTTATGTTTTAACATTTTACTATCTTATCTTTATTACTCTTTCTCTCTTTGCTTTCAATGTTTCCTCAGTGCAAATTTATGAGATTCATTAGAGCGTTTCCTCACTTTCTCTTACTCATCTTATTTTTAGTCTTGTTTTTATCCCTGGTGCTGACTGAGGGTGAGCGGCAGTGTCCAGGTGCAACTCACCTGTTCAGCCATCAGCTGCTGCCTCTGCATGTACTGCTGCTGCTGTTTCTGCTGCTCCAGGATCTGCTGCTGATGCTGCTGCTGCTGCTGTTGCTGCTGCTGCTTCAGCACCGCTGCCACCTGGCTGCTCAGGTACGCCGTGTTGCCATGGTTACTTGTCATGGCGTTGGCCCCCGGCTGCGTTGCCATGCTGTTGTTTCCGGGCGCAGACGCCATGCTGTTGGCGGGGCCCGGGCCGTGTGGAGGAGCAGGGTAGTTGTTCTGGTCCTGTTCAAAAAGAAGGAAATGAAAGATGATGTAGACCTTCATGTCTCCACCAGGGGGAGCTGGAGAGATTATTCATTTAGAGATATTAATATGGAAAAATGATTTAAAGAACAAACTGATGAGAAAATCTCAGAAAGCAAAAACTTAAGGTCTGTCCTCATGGTGGAAACAATCTTTTAAGGGGATTGAAAATATAGTTTGTAAGTATCTAACTTAGTGAAACTTCACACTGTCGTCTTCAGATGTGCAGTAAACATAACAGTAACATAAATTAAAGTTGGTAGAAAGTTTCGGTGACGGCGTCAGAGATCAACAGTTGTGATAATAAAGTGTAACGTGCAGCAGGAACAGAGTGTCCCGTCTGCTCGGAGCAAAAACACAAGCAGGAGCAGCTATATTTAAATACACAGAGAGAGAGAATATGAAAGGCTGCTTTGTCATCGCCTCCCTTCACCCCCCTGTGTGAGCCTTAGCAACCAGCTGCTTGACACACACACACACACACACACACACACACACACACACACACACACACACACACACACACGCGGTGGATGTTAAAGCGTGGGGCCCAGGCCGGCCTGAAGCAGAGCAGCTGAACAAAAGGCCTCCCTGCTGCAGCCTGACTTCACCTCCACTCCACAGACTCAAACTGCTCTGTACTGGTCTTCATCTGCACCTGTTGGACTCAAACCAGTACGACCACAGACCAGTCCGACCAGTCTCACACGGACTCCCTGTGGAGATCAGAGCCACGGATAATAAACATGATCCCTGAAGATTTTCTTCTAACTTCACCATCAGGACAAAATTTACACTTTGACACAAAAACATCAAAGTCTGATGAAGATGAAGTCTGATGAAACGTCCTGATCTCATTCCCGCTCTCCAGAGGACGGACCCTTTCTACATCAACGAACCCAGACCTGCCCACTAGCGCCACCTTCAGGACACACTTCACACTTTAACTCCGTCACTAGAATCAGGATCTGATCAGTTTTATTGAATCTGAATTAATTTGAATCCCTTCATTAAACTAAATAACTTGTAACTAACTATGGTTTTTAGTCATTTTATTGTAATTTGGTTGGAAATTCAATTTTATGTTGTTTTATTATTAATTTCTTATGTTTTATTGTTTTCTAATGTTTTTACAACTTTTTAAATCTCTTGTTATTTTTTCTTTTCAGCTCCTCAGTGTGTGAAGCTCTTTGAACTGAACCAGCCTGTATGAAAAGTGCTGTACAAATAAAGTTTTATTAACTAAATGAACTGTGACTGTAAGTAACTAATACTATGAAAAACTAGAGAGATTAAATCTGAATCTCCTTTCTCGCTTTTACAAATACTGAAGGAGCTTATCAATTTAAAGTATTGATATAATATTAATAGAAGTTGAATAAGAATCTCCTGATGTGATCTGATCAGCTGGTGAAGACTCACCTGTTTGTTTGTGTGTTGAAATACAGAGTTTTGAAAATATTCCTCAATGTTAAGTTGACTGTAAATCAAGTTAAACTGTAAATCAACATTAGTTTAGTTTTTCTTTAAATAAAGTTTGATAAAATATTTGTCAGAATTAGAGCTTTTTTCAGAGCCACAGTTTTTCACACTTTTATTTCAAACACTGCAGTGTTCCTGTGATGCCGGCAGGACGTGAGACTCCTGTTTAACATTTGTTAGATGTCAAATATATTTTTAAACAGCTGCTCTTTGTTCAGCCGTGTCTTGACGTCCTGGACGCAGTTTAACGGCCAGTGTTCTCAAATAACTGAAGACGGTTTGATCAGAACTTGAATTAAAGCATAAACACTCAGAGCAGCAGTGAAACTAAAGCACAAGAACGTCCGCTCCGTCGACTCTGAACCTCCCATGTGAGAAGAGCTGAACGCCGGTGCCTTTGTTCGGTTCTTTTGGTGCAGAGCGTTTCTAAAGGAGTCGCTGTGTCCGGACTGGATCAGCCAGCAGGAGACTCTGCTGCCGCAACAGACTTTCATTGTTCAGGCTGTTCAGCTCCATCATACGTCACTGATCTACAGCTGTGTGGGAGCGTGGAGCTGAGTCTGGGTTTATTTATGAGACCACGACACATCACATTTAACACTCATGTTAATAAGACAGGGAGAATAAAAACAGACCTGCTCTCCTTTACACAGTAGAGGGGAATGAAGCTGTGTGTGTGTGCGTGTGTGTGTGTGTGTGTGTGTGTGTGTGTGTGTGTGTGTGTGTGTGTGTGTGTGTGTGTGTGTGTGTGTCCAGGAATGTGGTGCTGGCCTGGTTATGAAAGCAGAGCGGGAACACACTGATCAGCCTGTACACTTTGTTTTTGTTGCAGCGTTGTGATGTTAGCATGAATGCTACAGCTAACAGACACTCAAACCTCTAATTAAAGTCTTATAATTATCTAACATTATTATTATTATTCATAATGTATTTATATCTATTTTCCAGATTAACACTGACTGTAAACAAACAGGCTGAACTGTCGTCATGTCAAATCATTGTATTTGATTAATCAGCAATTTACCAGATAATATGAATTATTATTACTGGTTATAACAATCACATTATTTTGTATTTAAGTCATAACACATAAAATAAAAGTCAGTTCAGCACCTGTGAGTGTTTGTGTGTGTGTGTCTCACCTGTGTGTGTGTGTGTGTGTGTGTCTCACCTGTGTGTGTCTCACCTGTCTGTGTGTGTGTAGTGCGTGTGTTTGTTGTGTGTGTGACACCTGTGTGTGTCTCACCTGTGTGTGTGTGTGTCTCACCTGTGTGTGTGCTGTGTCTCACTGTGCGCGTCTAACTTGTCTGTGTGTCTCATCTGTGTGTTGTGTGTGTGTATGTTGTTGTGTGGTGTGTGTGTGGTGTGTGGTGTGGTGTTGTGTGTCTCACCTGTGCGTGTCTCACCTGTGTGTGTGGTATATGCTGACGGAAGTTCATGCTGTTCTTCTGTTTGATCTGCTGCTGGTGTCTGAGCAGTGTCAGCAGGGCGGCCTTGTTCTGGTTCTGGTTGTTGGGGGGCCTCGGTGGTCCGGGCCCGGCCTCAAAGTGCGACAGGGGTTTGGTGTTGTTGTAGTTCAGCATGGCGGCCTGGGCCTGAGCTCCGGGGGCTGGCGGGTGACTGAGAGGAGGCCCTGGCGTCGGGTGACCCAGCATGTTGGGGTGCCCGCCGGGGCCCGGCATGTAGCCGCCGGCCCCCGCCTTGGGAGAGCCCTTGTTGGGCTGACCGGGCATCAGCAGCTGCTTCTGGGCATTGGGGTTGAAGTCCTGGGGGTACAGGGAGGGGCTCGTGGGTTTGTCCATACCAAATGCGCCCCCTAGTGGGCTCTGAGAGGTGTTGGCCATCTGGGACCAAGGTGGGGGGTGGGCGTGGGGCGCCTGGTTGTGGAACTTGGCCCCCGGCTGTGGCTGTTTGTGCTGCATCTGGCCGTGGAGGTGTTGGACCGCTCGCTGCTGCTGGGCGGCCAGCTGCTGGAGCTGCTGGGCGGGGGACAGGTCTTTGGGCACCGGGGGCCCCGGAGGGAGGAGGTGGTTTGGGGGAGGCTGAAGCTGCCTGGGGGGAGGAGCCGGCTGGGATGGGGGCAGAGCCGGAGAAGAGGCGGAGGAGGAGGCGACGGGGGAGCTGGTGGGGTGAGGCTGCGGCCCGGAGGAGGTGGACCTGACGTGGGGGGAGCCGGTGCGAGAGTCCTGCTCAAAAACTGCAGAGGCCGGAGAGAACTCCGCCTTCACGCTCACCAGATCTGGAGGAAGTAGACCCTGTGACGACTGGCCTCCCCCACCACCTCCCGCTCCTCCTCCCACAGCCCCCCCACCACCCGGAGTGGGTGCCAGTTCCAGAGGGTCCTTGCGGTCCTCGAAGCCGTCATTGAGAATGTCTTGGATGTCCTCGTAGGCCACGGAGCAGTTCAGCTCCTCCATCAGCTCCGTCCACTCCTGCTCGTTCAGGTTCAGGTCGGGGAACAGGCTGTTGTTCCCTCCTCCCGACGGCGGCATGATGGGCAGGATGTCGTCCGGCTCCTGCTTCATCTCCTTCCGGTGGAAGTCCGATCCCGGCTCGCTGCTGTCCGTGGACTCCCCTGCCGGCCCGTGGGTCCCGTTAGAGTTCAAGGCGTCGCTGATGCCCAGCTTGGAGTCCAGCGGGGAGCCGTTGGCGGTGCCGTTGTCCAGACAGGCCTTCTTGTTGGGGGGAAAACCGTCGCTGAAACCGTTGACTTGATCTCGGCCCAGAGGAGAACCAGCGCTCTCCAGCTTCCTCTTCACCGTCTCCTGCAGCTGCAGGAACAAACAGAACCAGAGGTTAAAACAGCTGTAAATCGACATCACCATATCACAGACAGACAACAAGGGTTCAAACCCCGGCACTGCTGAAGTGCCCTTCAGCAACAAACTGAATCTGTTTGAGTCTCAGGAGGCAGCACGCGTCTAAACACATTTATTATAAATCCAGGTTATTAACAAGAAAATGTGATTGACACAAACAAACACAAAGACTGGATTCGGATACTAAATACTACATTGCCA